TCTTCATCGGCGATGTCCGCTCTAATCCACAACACAAACTTTGGCAATCCTGGCCGCTTCGGCAACTTATCCAGCTCTCATGGCATTAAGTCTCCGTGAGGCTTCGTAGTTAGTTTTACGGGGCCAACTGAGACTCAAGTCTCATATCATTCAAGAAGGTTCCGAGTTATCCAGCTCCACACTCGTGGGATGTTCAATCTAACAATGGTTACGGAAGACTCGAGTTATACTTATTGGCTATTGCCAACAGGTTTTCCCGCCTTGTTTCATAGACACGACGATCGAATCGATCGTCAGTTTCGATTTGAGCTCTCGTCTTGAATCGTGATATTAACTCTGGAGCCTAGAATAATGCAATATCTTTCCTCTGAGACAAGGATCTACGCCGACGCAGCGATTTTCATAACTAAGTCTGGACGTCCCACTGTGTCCATAGTCCATCCCCGACGAATTCCCCGCCTTTAGGCCGAGTCGTGGGTAAAGCGCTGTTTGGCAAGCTAGCAGCTTGTGTCTTCATCCTGCTCTTCGTCTCTTGGAGCCTAAGGTAGCAATCGCATCCATCAAAAACAGAATCAGGCCGTCAGCATGTAAGATATTAAAATCAAAGCGCCTCTTGACAGGCAATTAGAGTCATTGCTATGATGACCGTTTAAGCCCGAATCCTTCGGAAATCACACTCCGTAAATGAAACCCGGTTGTGGCGGCGGTGGGTGTCTGCTATACGGTATGGTACGATACAGTTTCAACATCCCACGTAAAGAAAGTTTGCCCTATGTTGGAACAGGAAAGAGTCTTCTGGCTTGACGGCAGAAAGAAAGTTCGATACAGTGCGCACTGGGCGTTGGAGATGAGCTTGTTGGATATGTATCTCGGACAGACATGTCTCATCGAGTTGAATCGGGGACAACGTGAATTTGAATACTGTCGCTCTAGTTTCGAAGTATATCCGATCGCTTTTACTTCAGAGAAGGACTTCAAGTCTGCCGCTCTTAAGTGGTTCAGAAGTCTCACTCGTTGTATCAGCATGAGTGACGCATAGTCCTGGATCTACCCCAATATTTTGAAGCCGTAGAGGGATTGTCAATCATCTAGCCTTTCGAGCGGATATGCACTCGAATCAACTCCAGCCAAGGAGTTTTAGGCCTTCCCGAATTCCAGCAAGGCTCCTTGATAATACCAGACCATCGCAGCGTAGGTATTGGGATCCATCATTGCCGACGGCATGCCTTGCACCCAGGCTTCAGGAGCGTATAGGGATGTTCTCATACTGCACGTATCGACGTACTGGGAATCGAGGTCGAGGCAACAGAGGAACCGTTACAAAACCCTAATAGAAGTACCGACCACGTCCTGATGCGGGGATTCATCGAGAGGTCGCCATCCATCGTAAGACGCTACATCAACAGTGTGTCGTTTGTCGTCGAAGTACTGGGTGTAGGTATTCGTCGCCACTCGAATGGAGCCTCAATTTTGCGTCATGCTCGGACACCGATGTGTGTATAGGTCTATTCTGCTCTGTTCCCACAACCGTAAGTCAGTAGTCAGATAGGATACTCGAACAGAAAGCAAACCGACAGATCATACTTCTACCATTAAACTTGCTGAGAACTCGCTCGGCCAACCCCCTTGAGAGTCCTGCGGGTAAGATATTGCACCGGTCGTCAGAGAGAAACAAGCGAAATGGATGTGCCAATAATTTCATATCCACTGTAGACCCAACGGCGTATCGTCTTGGGATCCTGCAGCTTCGAGCTGATCACGGCAAAGGAGCGTCTAGGCCGCGCAGGAGAGCCGTGGCAGTCTACCTGCTAACGTGGCATATCTGAGACGAAGTCCATGTGGACTTTCAGTCCGAGAAGGGAATCTAACGGCTTCGAGGTGGTTCAACGGTGTGCTCTGCCGTGAAGGAGTTTGATGAACGGAGGAAGGACGTTTCGTTGACGTTGACGTAGTACTAAGAGGAAGAGAGCAGTTAGCGGCACGGTAAGGACTCAGGAGTTGGACTGAGAGTTGAGGAGCAGCCTGTATGTATACATATTCCTTACTTGAGAAGGAGGCTTGAGCCTGGAGCTTCTATAATGTTTGCGCTGGAATGATTTAGAGACAGTAGTGAACATTGTTAACTGAAAAGTATTGTAGAAATCAGGGGTGAGAGGAGCCGGCGAAGAGTATGTCCAAATGTGAAAGTTGCAATGTGCTTATGGTTGTTGATATGGCTCAGGCCCTTGATTATCAAGGGCCAAAGCTGCGAGGCTGGGTTAAGTGCCAACGATGCCATGATGTGATCAGTGCACTAAGGTAGCAGAGACCGAAATTTCTACGATTTGTCTTATCCTTGAAATTAGTTCATGCACTGACTGCATGATAGCGAAAGCTATTAATGAAGCAAATAAGTTGTCAAGGCATGACAGTACATTTGATATCATTTTATTAAACCTTTGGCTAGACATCATAATCATTTCTGTCAACAAGGAAACCCCTATCCATCGTATCAATCCGTATGCTTTAAGTTCTGACTATTGATATTGTGTACACATATCCAGTCGAACTCTGCAGACTCCAAATCGAAGCACGATGCTTCGAAGAACGATGTATTGGCCAAAGTCGTCTGCATTTTTCACTCGGCATGGAATCCGCTAGCGAGCTCGCATCTAATAGAAGCAAAGACACCATTAGTTTCGACATCAGATCATGGTAGAAGGAGGCATACGGGTCTGCTGCGTGCTGGATGTTGCAATGTTCCCAATCAGCATCGCGAAGGATGGATGCGCGGAATCTGACAGCATCATCGATACTGCAGAAACGGAAGACAACGCTGCGTGGCTAGAGGCATCATTAGCACGCAAGCCACTCTTGGGGATGATCACCAGCTTACCTCTCCAGGGACGCAGGAGTCCACGATCTTCTCCACCTTGCGATTGTTGGCGCCGGCTAACTTAAGAAGCTCGCCCATGTTGATGTTCATGCTGACACCAACGGCGCGGACAACACGGGTGCTGCCAATGGAGAGATTGAAAGAAAGCTGAGAGCTGATGACATCGACTTCTTTGCCCATCTCCACGAAGACGGTCTTTCTCTTCTCCTTGTCAATGTCAATGCCATTGGGGTACTTGTCAAAGAAAGTCTTGCAGGCCTCGTGGTCGCAGAAAAGGATATGAGCTTGGTTGCCGGTAGGAGTGATGTGGATGCTCTCAACCATACCACCATGGATAAGTGACAGAACTTTGGCGGGAGTACTCCAAGCAGAAGGAAGTCCCTTGATAATGACGCGTCTAACTTGAGCCGCTAGCAAGATGTCATATTAGCGTCCACAAGTCCACCCAAAGGAGACACAAATATTGATTGCATACCTGGCTTGTCACGCGTAACAGGGGTACCCCAGGACTTGAAGGTAGTAAGATTCTCACGATCCTCTTCAACGACAGCATTGTCAGGAGACTTAGTAGCTGAGACAACATTCTCAGAAGCTGCAACAGGAGTATCCTGCATGATGAACTCAGCCGCATCGCCACGGAAACCGGAAGCGGATGCCTTGGGAGCTTCAGCGTCTTCCACGATGCCAGGCATCAGAGACGGGTTGTTATTATCGGTGTTGTTTTCGAAGTCACCAAAGCAGTCATCATTACGCGAGTGGGGGGCTTCTTCATAGACAGATCGATGTCAGTTGTGATCTTCTGACAGTTTGAGGCGCGTGGTAGAAGTCAACTTACCAGAGGGCCACGCGTCGTTGGAAGCAGACACAGGAGCAGATCCATTGGCGTCAACAGGAGACTGTCCGCCAAAGTCATTGGAACCATTAGCAAAGCCATTCAGCTGAGTAGAAGTATCCTGATCAGCCTGAGTTTTGGCCGCAGCGGCAGCCTCACGAGCCTGCTTCTCTCTAAGAGCTCGAGCAAAGGCCATGAAGCCAGCAGCATCATCCACGTCAGCGACGGGATACTCCTTTGTGAGTTCAGCCATCTTGGATGGAGTGTAGGAATTGTATGAAGAATCGCCAGACGAGTGGCAAGGTTTAGGGGGGCGGATGTTGGAAGGAAAAGAAAGTCCACCAGGGGTACGTGGGGTTTTGTTGACGGGGGCAACCTGGGAAGACTGTTAGGTGTTGGAAAAATGCAATTAGCTTCACTCTCACAACGTATGCATGGCCTGCTTGAGCAAAGACGCCGATGTAACCAGGTGCACAGAACACAATGCTGAAACGAACACTAAGAAGGAGAGAGAAATGGACGGAAGGAGGACCAACCTGCTGAGAATACTTCAACTCCTTTGCTTTATCTTCTTTCTTAGGTGCGTGTCTGCTTTCCTGCAGGCCCTGAGAGCCCTTTCCCATGACATTGTCGAAAGCGTCAATGATCATGTCTGAGACTTGCTTGAGATCCATGGTCTCAGGTAGTCTGATAGCGGTATCAAAAGCTTTTGCTAGCCAGGAAAACATAGAGAGCGCTTAGAAGGATGAAGAGGCCTTCAGTCACACACTGTCACGGTAAAAGTAGGAGCGGAAAGAGGTGGTAGATGGTTAGATACAGAGTCATGGACAGGGTGGTGGGAGGTTTATGCTTGTTATATAGCTCTCAGATGCTTGCTTAGCACAAGACAGTGACTTGCCACCGGAATTATCCTTCTCACTACCTGGAATTAGGGCATGACAACGGAAATATCCGTTTCACTCCACTCAGTGACAGGCACGATGAGATACCCCAGCCGCCTTCACTGACAACATAAGGAGGCTGGTGAGGAGCGTCAAGCCTAAACCATCAAGGACAAACAGTTAGCTTAAATATTCGTTCAAGATATCACTTTTTTCTTAGAGCTGAAGCTTGGACATAGTTTCCAAAGTTATAACAGATCTGGAAGATGAGTATACAGCATGACAGGGAGGAAGCAAATTTTGAAGATCGAGCTTCTGTGAGTTTCAGTCGATTATTTATGTATATCGCTTTCATATTAGACAAGAAGTTAAGATACCAACATGGAACCGCCAAATGGTAAGACTGTCAAATTCATGTCGACGGTACAGGAATGCTTTCATAACCTTCCTGACCCGGCTTGCGATCTTCGACGATAACTTGCAGCCCTCGCCGTCCGCAATAGCCGTCATTCCCAGCAATTCGATCGATCTGTTTGAAGGAACCACCACTAGCTTCATTTGCATCTGCAACCCAAACTGTTTCCTGAACAGTTTGACCAGGCACCTCTGCCCGTCGTGGGTTGTACCACGGCAACCCCACAAGGTGATTCCCAATGTTGTGGATGAAGGAATAGAGCTTCTCAAATCGGCGTGTGGTCCCAAGCCAGGACCAACTACGGAGGTCGTAGGCGACCCGCACGAATGGGTTCAAGTAGATCCCGGTGTCGGTTATCTCATCGGGTTGCAGCTGAGGTTGCTGAATGTCCGCATGGATTAAACAGCACTCGGAAGCTTCCCAAAAGAGGTCGTGAGAGGCGCGGAAACGGGCCGGAACTTGAGTCGAACCCTTTCCTGCCGTGCCAGGCTGGAAGAATTTGGCATCAAAAGCAACCATTCCTCCCCAACAACTGCGTACACGCACGGCATCCTTCCCAGCTAGCACATCCTTTCGGCTATCACCATGTCCGGCTGTTGAAAACCACGGAAAGAAAGGAAGACCCATTCCATAGCCCTGCAGGTCACGAGTGGCGTACGTGTCATAGAACTTGAAGGGGTTGATGAAGTCGACAGCGCAAGCTGCCCGATATTGAGCAACCCCATCTTGATCTGCATTGGTGGAGAACAACAGCTGAAGAGCGTCAACCGGATCGAAAATGACGTCGTTTAGGTACAGGAGCTTGTCGTAACGCGTCTCAGGATCATCGTCCAGCGGTTTCAGAGCTCGGTTGCGAACCTCTGCCAGATACTCGATGCGCTTGATACGTTCCTGTCCGCCGGGGACTGTAACTCGCGGCAAGCTGTCCAGACCCAGATGCTCTTCGAAAATGATGGAGCTCTTGCATGGTACCCGCTCCTTGAAAGCCTGCAATGCGCTTTTACCCTCTGGTCCGCTATCATTCTCGTATATACTTAAGAACACATTATCTCCTCCCAGCAGGTCAATGAGCTGAAGAACTCGATTGCCCCATTCTCCGCCTGCTAATTCTCCGCCGCGGTCATATAGGCTCGCAGCCACGAAGACCTTCTCGTTGCGAATGTTGCCTCTGCCCGACCTAGTCGATTGCGAGACTGCATTCCGTAGAACTGAGTAATGCGACGGCGGACGAGTGTAGGATGGACGAAAGATTGAAGTCAATATGACAAGGGCTAATATAATCCCTGTAACGACATGGATATAGAAGCAGGAGCGGCGTAGAAGGAGACGTCGATAACAACTCGGTCGCGATGAGGCGGATAGGATGCGTCGAGAAGATTTGAGGCGACGATAGCCGGATGAAGTTGATGAGAAGAGCCGCGATAGAAAGGAGAACCGGTTGAAAAGACGTCTGGGTCTGGGGGGAGCTTGTGACTCGAAGTCGGCCTCGTCTAGGTTGAAAGTTCCCTGAGAGTCGACAGAAGATCGAGTGTCAAGCTCGTACTCATCCGGGTGCAGCAGACGGGCAGACATGACGAAGAATCGTCATCAGCTGCTGGAAGCGATTTGCCGACACATTCCTCGAATGTTCTGTATCAGCTGCTCTAGCATCAACGGGACATGCGCAAGAATTAGATACCCACTCTCCTCGTCGTCTCAGCTCAAGGCATGACCTTCTCCCAGTGTCTGATTATGTCAGCGAAGGTACCCTCCGCCAAGAATGAGCCTGGAGATCGCTGAAGGATCATCGCTTCGGTTTTGCCGCGTCCAGTCGGCATCAACTGATATTGGGTGCCAACCTGTCAAGGCATGAGGCAAACCGAAAGACGAGATTTCCTGATGTCTCGTAAACATTGCCAGCTACCAAGGTTTGAGGATGGGAGTCCCAGATTTCTCCGCTCAATTCTCCGGCATCAAGGTGCCAGAGGTGCCACCCCACCCGGAATGAGCGTCATCGGTGGTCATTACCGTCAGAGAGGGGCCAGGATCACAAGCTTACAGGCCATAGTCCGTATACTGAGTCCAAAACTGGACTTTATCCGGCTTGAATACGGACAGCGGACCTTTCACCGGTGCTGACTCTTCTTTTCCAGTCTCCGTTTCTTACCCCTTTATATAGCCCGCAATTCCGGTACCTGGACGTAAAGGTTCTTCATCCATTTTCATCATTCTTTCTTTGCCAACGGATTGCAGCGTTCACATTGTTCTGAAAGGCCTTTCCCAACTATACCGCAAGCTTCAAATAAGCTATACAGCATTCTACGGGCAATATGACTCAAGCTGGGTTTAGATTTGCCAACTCCGACGAAAAGGTCCCTGGTAATGGCACCTTGCCTCCCGAGTTCACGATAAAGGCGAGTCCTTCTACAGATATCTGGTCGAAACCGCCCTCAACAGAACGCTTCAATGCACCCATCCTCTATCGCAGTGTGCCCTTGAAGTCATTCAAGAGGGCTCGAGTCGCAGTCAACGCCAATTGGCAGCAGAAATACGACCAAGGCGGCCTCATCCTGGTCTGGACTGCGACAGATGGAACCAGAAAATGGGTGAAAACAGGCATTGAGCTCACGCATGGCAAACCTCATCTCAGCACTGTCACGAAAGACCGTTGGGCGGACTGGAGCTTGCTTGCCATCCCTTCTGGTGGAGCAGCAGCGACCATCGAAATCGTCAGGGAAGCAGACGAGAGCTTGTGGATTTACTTAGTCGAGGGTGTCCAGAAGTCTCCTCTCCGTGAGGTTACATGGTGTTTCGAGGAGCAAGAAAACGTCGAATGCTGGGTTGGCGTTTATGCTGCGAAGCCGTCAAGTGAGGGAGGTGATTTGGTGGTCAACTTTGGACATCTGATCGTTGATCTGGCCGAGTAATACTCAGCATTTACATGTATGGAATGACACGTGTATGTGAAGTGTATGTGATAGGCGAGCAATGTCAGCGAAGTCAATGTTACAGTATCCCTTCGTTGTCCCTGAGGTAGAGGGCTCTGAGGATAGCACGTAGAATTCAAGATGGCAGTGTCAAGAATCGTACTATTGAGTCCCAGTCTGGCTCGGTTACGCCCACACCTTGGACTCGTATATGTTTCTCTTTCTAGACAACGCTAACGGATGGTTGATCAAGCAGTTGCTCTGCAGGCATTTTATTGAGGGGGTTATTGCCGAGTTACAGTAACTATACATGTTCGGGCCTAACTCGGCTTAAGAATGGACCTCAGAAGTTCTGTTTTACAAGTCGGCTCTCAGTACGCAACCGGCCTCGAATACCAAAGTAAAAGCCAAGGCATTCAAGTACCTCACTCGTATCTATCTAAAGGGGAAGTTCTGAGAACTCTCGTTAGGAGGATATGACACTAGTGGAAGTGGTTGAGAATATTACCCGTTTGAGGCAGTAATCCAGGATTGCAGACACCACACAGACCGTAAGTTCGTTGACCCACTCATAGTTTCTCTACTTGTCATAAATCGTCACGGAAAATCTCAGGTATCAGAGTGATCCGGTACTCTTCTCTGTATTGTTGATAGTCCGTGGCTGTGCAGAATGATGATATTGTATGGCTTTTGTGCTTCTTCAGATTGTATCCCTAAAACAGCCCCCATAAGCTGACCAAAAAAAGCCATCCAATTTAAAGGCCTCTTGTTGACTCCATTAAGTACTCTCGGAGGGGCTCGTATTACTTTCATACCTTGTGCTGCCTGAGATAACCCACACGTCCCCACTCGCACAGCTCATCTCTTCGCTGAGCTGGCGGTCAGCACTCGGAACCTAGATGACTTCAAAGTTACAAAACATTGATATGCCTTAATAATTAACTGAGCTTTATTATCTGCAAAGTGCCTTTACTGTAATAAGCCCAAGAGAGGCCAAATAATATTACTCACTGTGCTCTGTAGGGGTATTGTAGATTGAGTGATAGCATGAGGGAAATCCCGTCGGACCGCCTGCAGCGGGTGTGATCTTATGATCTTATCATATCTGATGGGATCCTTGATTGCCACCTGATTAGGAATGTGACTCGACTACTCTCCCGCATTCCCGCAAGTACCCAAGTCCAACCCGACTTTCACCCCCACTTGTCATCACTCACACCACGCTTGTCCGACTTGCAATCCGATCTTCGTCTTGTTCAGTTCTTGTCATGGTTATTTGACGATTTTTCAACGATCCACCACGATTCCAGATTTCGATGATTCCTCCCTTCTCCGATTGCCGCACAACCTGAAAGCCGAGGAGCAAGTACCCTAACGACTTATCGATAACCACGCCTAAAGGGGTCATGACAGACTTGACAGTTCATGAACAAGAGTACATATCGTACAAAGCAGGACAAAGCTCTCCAATATCTTGGTGCCTCGCGGGGCCGTATTACCTATTGGAGCCTCGGGCGTCAAGCCCATAGGCTCTTGCGGATCTCACATTTGCTGCAACCCACGTCGACGTGCATAAGTGCGCCTCTAGATCGTGTTGCGCGGCTGGAATTAAATAATAGTTCGAAAGGATTGTCGGCCTCCTGACTCGACTACTGGGTCATCGTGTGCGGCTGACTTACACCCATATCCGCTCTTGTTAGATCTGCTACTGATGAATTGGGTTCCCGACTCGGAGCATCGCGGACGTGTCTCATATTGTTTTTCTTCTTTCCCTTTTCCTTTACTGGGATACCCCTGATTTTTCCACTATCTGCACTTTGCTTTTTCTATTCAGGTCATCGACTGGCTCGGACCACGAACATCCTTGAACTTCAGCTCACTCATATCCGGTGTGATCACTGCTTCGCTGCTCGGTGCCTTGCTTCGGTTACGACTTGTTGACCCTATTACACATACACTCGCGCTCCTCTTCGAGCCTACATTCTGTCGGCATCTATAAATGGACGTCGTTTGTACAGAAGCAATACATCTGTGCTTCTCTGACGTCTCAATCCAAGCGAAATGCCCCTTCTCGATCACCGAACAGGACCCTCTTATGGCACAATCGACCAGATGGAACAACACAGCGATGATGAAGGAGAACGGTTTCTCCAGGAACAGTATGATACTGGCGGATTCAGTAGTGACAATACGTCAATTTCGGAAGATTCGGTGCAGGAAGGCGTTAGGAAAATCGAAGCGATCAATTTGACTTGGACTGCACGGTCTCTGGTCATAGCATATGTCAGGTTGGTCCATCTCGGGCATATGCGGCGCGTCTTATCATACTGACATCTTCGAACAGTATCTTTCTCATGTCGTTTTGCACGTCTCTAGAAGGCCAGACCGTCATGTCGCTCGGAGCATATGCAACGAGTGCTTTTAGCAAACACTCCTTGATTTCCACTGTTTTGGTCGTCCAGAATGTGGTCAACGGTAAGTACTATAACCTTGCCGGTCTATAATATTGCAGTGTAGGGCCAACTCACATCTTGCAGCTGTCATCAAACCTCCTATGGCGAAAGTCGCGGATGTCTTCGGTCGCTTCGAGGCATTCTGTGTTAGTATCCTCATATACGTGCTTGGATATATTCAGATGGCCGCCTCGACAAACGTGCAAACTTATGCATCTGCTCAAATCTTCTATTCCGCCGGTTCGACGGGTCTCCAAATACTTCAACAAGTTTTTATTGCTGACAGCAGTAATCTGCTGAACCGTGCCTTTCTGGCGCTGCTACCTGAATTCCCTTTCCTTGTGACCGTCTGGATTGGGCCGACTATCGCGGATGCGGTGCTGAAGCACTCCTCGTGGCGCTGGGGCTACGGGATGTGGTCGATTATTCTGCCTGCCTCTTTCCTGCCCTTAGCACTTTCCTTGCTGCTGAATCAACGTAAGGCAAGGAGGCTGAACCTCATCAAATCGAAGTCTCGGCACCGCGGCGGCTTCTTTGCAGTATTGCGCCGTACATGGTATGACTTGGACATGGGCGGCTTGATCCTATTATCCGCGGCGGTTACGTTGATCTTGGTGCCTCTTACTCTTGCTGCGAACTCGAAGAATGGCTGGAAGTCCGACAGCATCGTTGCGATGATCGTAGTCGGCTTAATCTGTTTGATCGCGCTGCCATTCTGGGAAAGCTCTAAAAGACTGGCTCCCAAGCCCCTTCTGTCCTTGCATCTTCTTAAACAGCGGACTGCTCTTGCTGGCTGCACCCTTGCATTTTGGTATTTCAGTAAGTATTTACTGTTCTCTTCCGCGAGACGTCCTCGAACTTTTGCTGACGCATATCAGTGGCGTTTTACTTCTCTGTTCAGCCATACTTTTATTCCTATCTCCAGGTCGTTCAAGGCTACGACGTCGCTACCGCTGGCCGGGTTACTCAAACATTTGCCTTTACTTCGACAATTGCTGCCTTTGCGGTCTCGATATTGATCAAATACACCCGGCGCTATCGGGTATTCGTCATCGCTGGCTGCGTGATCTATATCATCGGAATGGTGCTGATGATGGTAACCCGTCATGAAGGAAGTACACCAGCGCAAATCTTGGTGACCCAGGTCGTCGTCGGTATTGGTGGCGGGCTCCTCAATGTTCCAGTACAGTTGGGAGTCCAAGCATCTGCCAGTCACCAGGAAGTTGCCGCGGCCACGGCCATGTTTCTGACGTCCATGGAGATGGGCGGCGCGGTTGGCGCTGCACTCTCGGGGGCTGTTTGGACCCATAATATCCCACGCAAGCTTCGACTTTACCTTCCCGAAGAGAACAAAGGAGATGCGGACGCAATCTTCGGCAAGATAACGAAGGCCCTCTCGTACCCTCTCGGATCACCCGTCAGGGTCGCTATCAATCAAGCATACCAGGAGACATTCAAAAAGCTTTTGATTCTGGCTCTCATTGCCATAGTACCATTGGTACCCTTGAGCTTGGCGATGGAAGATTACAAACTTGATAAAGTGATTCATGATTTTATTCTTACCTTTGATCAAGGCTAACTGCTCGACTAGATGAGCGAAGAACCTCTGGTTGAACCGGTCCCCACTGAAGAGGAAGAAATCGAACCGAATAGACACGTCAAACGAACGTAAAGAGCCTTCGAGTCCTTGAAGACATCTACAACAGCTATGCTGCATCTAGGCAGCAGTGCTATGAATTTTTACGAGCTTATGTGACGCAAGACCTTCACCAGGTGAACGAACTCATTGCGTGGAATCAACCATTGGATGACACGAAGAAAACAATGCTCGCATCAGTCAGCAACCAACCATGCATTTCTATCGGCGTAAGGGATTACGGTGTACATATCACATTGCAGGACCCTTGATATGCTCTGGCTAGAGCAGATTCCGTCTCGTTACAATTTCCCAAGAACGAGATTGTACAAGAAGGCGCAGGGATTGTCATGATATCTATATAGACGCAGTTACGAACAGAATGATTAGACGACTGTTATTTATCACTAGGCTCTTTTTTTTTCTATCTATGCATTAACCGCTTTGGTATCGAGGTGTCTTCGCCTAAGTCGTTTTGGCCTACTGATCCCAGTCTCCTTCCTGAAAGCTGGCGTTACCGCATAACTCATGCCATCAACAAGATTATGGATCAGCGCATGTAGCCTTACCGTATCCGATCAGGGTACTCCCATCGGCCAATTCAACTGAACTATCGTGGTTGCCTATCACGTTATGCGATTGAGAGAACGTCCATTCGATGAGTTCTGGGAGAGCCACAGAGTAGTTGCCCTCGTATTGCTTTCAGATTTTTCACCTGCATTCCTAACCTTGTACAGACAAAGAAGCACTGTTAACAAGCTCCGCCAGTTTCCTGGCCAGGAGTACTTCTAGGGTGTGGACGATAACAGGCAATATAGCGAAACTCCGTTTTGGAGTCCGAATAATTCGCTGGAACGCCAGCGATTGCATTTCTAATCAACGTTACAGAACGATACTTATCCTGTGTTGGTTAGGACTGGCTTATGCAGGTCTGAAACGTGGCTGTATGCACGGTAAATGACACCTCACGGGGAATCTGGCTAAGTCTAAGGTACTTCTCTTGACAGGGAGGGTGTCAGAGATGATCTCGTTTGGTCATGCTCGGATGATTATAATGGATGATATTGGTAGTCCCCGAGAGGGAGGACATGGTTCCCAGAACTCCCGTAATCAGGGTTATTCTGGCAGGGACATTGCGTCCTGTGTCCTATTTGGTTATTCTTGTTTCAGTGCTTGGCTGTAGATGAGAACTTGGCCTGGAATCACTGACGAGGGTCACTTCTCACAGTTAGCCTTTGCTCCGCGAGCGTCCTCCTATGGTTATCATCCACCGGACTTCCTATCAGCTGGTATTTATCACAGTTCAAGTTCAGATCAATTGGTGATGCTTTTGTATAAGCCCTCATCCCCTTGACAGACGAATGATTCAGGGCCATCAGGTCGACAATCCGCACAAAGCAGGATAGATTTTGTGAGAAACATGAATCTCTCTACGAGCTAGATGCGAATATCACAGATTCATATCTTCATCCTAGCTTTTTTTGAAAGCCAATAAAAACACCGTCTTGAATGGTTAGTGTGTTTTGAAAGCCTCGTCAGGGCGCTCAACATGCTGGCGAGGACAGTCGACTCGAAGCTCGAATCTCCAGTCAAATAGCTGGAGAGGACGAGTGAGCAGTTATAATAAGCTCCTACAGCGTAGCTCTGGTGAAGGTAGATAGCCAAATGGCCAATTTAGACTGGCTGCTGGCGAGTCCAGGCGCTAAAGGACAGAGTCGTGTAACAGCACAGTTGGATGCGGATGGACGATGACTTGTTGGTATTTTTGCACACTCGCACACCTTCAGAAGCAGGCTTCCATTCGAATGGTCGCAGCAGAAAATAGAAGTCAAAAGGATCGAGGTTGATTTTTTCAGAGGTAGTTACAGGATTTGCATGCGTGACCATGTCCATAGCATTGCTGCTTCCTAATTTCTGGCCTGTGGAGCTCCATTCATGCGGTTATTTGTTTTCCGACGATCACGTCTCAAGTTTGACCCGATCCATAGCCTAAATTTTACTAAATAGTCGAACCGAAGGAAGAGCAACGGTCCAGACAAATATGGAGGTAATTGCGAAATCTGACTGGCCGAGAGAGTGTAACTTGAATTCTGGCGCTTTTTTGACACCTCTGGATCTGGTCCAAGTCATAATTCTGCTTGGTACAAAACGGCTACCATCTTCACAGTCAGGACACGGAGGCTTGCATTACAGGAGCACTGTCTAGAGGCTCAAGCCATTGAACAGGGCCTAGCTATATAGCTGTTGCTTGTTGTTAAATCAGCTGTTTTTCGGGAAAAACTCGCAAAAGTATGAGCGTGGGGTCGACTCCGGGCGAATACTTCTCACTATCCAAATCTACCGCGGCTGCTTCCGATTCCCCTCGTTGGAGAGATGCAACGCTTAGTATGGGGCCACAATCGAGTGATGTTTGTTCTCTTCAAAAAGGGGGATAAGAATAGGCAATAGGACGCAAATCGTGTTCTTTCTGCTTCGGAATATCAGATTGATGACACCTATTGACGATGAAACTAATATGACGAGACTGAAATTTTTTTCCTTTTTGTCGCGATCAGTCTTGCTTGATGGGTTCTGTATTATATGACAACATCCAACAGAGCTGCAGATGTAGATGATGGCAACTGAAAGTGATGGTTATCATCATAGCCTCCAAGGGATCTTGATGGTGTGAGAGAGACAGTCGATCAACCTTGAGACACAGATACAGCTTCCACTTTGAGGTACTCCGTAGACTACTGTATCTGAGTCCTTACCTAGGTAGCTCAAGGGTACTTAGGGACTCTTGCTGTTCCTGTTAGTTGCTCCGTACCTAGCTAAGAGTCCTCTGCTTTAGACTACTGAGCTATGTCCCTCGTCCTCCTCCTCCTCCTCCTCCACTTCTCCCGCCCGCCCACATTGGCTGGCTCGAACCATCACTCCCGTCCTCTTTCATTCACGGATACTCACTGACTGAACTGCCTTAGCTAGCCTTTCACCGCACACCACCATACCATACTCTTTCTCTCTCTCGCTCTCAATCTGCTGGCTGTCCTTCTCCCCATCAACTTTACTGTTCTCCATCTCCAAAATAATTATTTCCATCATATTTTCTGTCTTGACCTTCCCCTCCACCTACTACCTCTCTATCCCCATTCACCATCATCCATCACTATCTAGATTCTGCCATCTCCATTTCGTCTCCTTTTTGACGATCCTCCTCACCGCGATTTCCTCCCTGTCTATTATACTTTTACGCACCCTCGCTCTTCAGTGCCGTTCTTGAGCCTGAGGATCAACTGGAGCACTTTTTCAACGCTCTCGCTCTCAAGAGATAATTTCTATATCTACGGTTTGCAATATGGTGGTAGCTACAATTAAGTACGTTGAATCGTCCCCATTTCATCACTTCTGTCTTCGTTATCAACCTCCCCTTCCTTTTCCCCTCCTTCTATTTCCCCCCCTTGGCCTTTCTAGGTAGTATCTCGAGTGGACAGTCAAATGCTAACGAGGTTCTTTTCACTATCTACAGGTGTGTCGTCGTTGGTGACGGTGCCGTGGGAAAGACATGCCTTCTTATCTCTTATACAACAAACAAGTTCCCCTCAGAATATGTCCCCACCGTCTTTGACAACTATGCGGTTACTGTCATGTAAGTGACATCTAACTCTCGATGTTGCGGTTGACAATGCACCCTTGCGATACAACCTCGTCCTTTCATTCTTCGCCCACGCCTCCCTATAGTCGGGATTAGCACTGCGGGGGAAGCGATTTCGTCATTTTTCAGCACCCAAAAAGAGCTTTCATCAACTAACTCGGATTCGCGTGCTATAGGATCGGTGATGAGCCTTATACCTTGGGACTGTTTGATACCGCTGGTCAGGAGGATTATGACCGTCTCCGCCCCCTTTCCTACCCTCAGACAGATGTCTTCCTCGTCTGCTTCTCGGTGACCTCTCCTGCGTCTTTTGAAAATGTCCGCGAGAAGTGGTTTCCCGAGGTGCACCACCACTGCCCCGGTGTGCCCTGTTTGATCGTGGGTACCCAAACTGATCTTCGGGATGACCCTGCCGTTCGCGAGAAGCTCGCCCGTCAGAAGATGCAACCCATCCGCAAGGAAGATGGCGACCGTATGGCGAAGGAGCTGGGTGCTGTAAAATATGTCGAGTGCTCCGCTTTGACACAGTACAAGCTTAAGGATGTCTTTGATGAGGTTCGTATCGGCTGCGATACCCAATCAGATAAGCCATATCGGACGCTGACTCGGATTTCCAACCATAGGCGATTGTTGCGGCCCTGGAGCCCGCCCCGAAGAAGAAGTCCAGATGCGTCTTGCTGTAAAATCTTCTATCCAAAACTTCTGTACATCAAGGCGATTCAGGTCGGTCCAGTCTGGAAGAAGCCTCTTCTCATTGAGGGTATTGTCCCATTGATGCCAGTCCCAGCAGAGATATTACGCGATTCAGATTTTATCGAAGAGTGCCACGGGTTTATGGAGTTTCGGAAGCCTGCTTTCTCAGCTACAGGGTCACTGCTTACTCGATTAACGTCTCACTGTAATCTCTCGAGCTCTTCTTTACGCGGTACCGCTTTCGTCGAAACAATGATCCATTCCTATCCCCAGCTTGGCCATTTCACACGATACTTTTGATTCCTTGAATCTTCGCCCTTGTGCCGATCATCAATACGCAACGTTATATCCTCTTGCGGCAAGCTACCACGTTTTCTCTTCTCCTTGCCCACTGCGACGGGTTCATCTCTCTTTCCCCTGCTCTATTTGTCCTCTACCTTTCTCAATTTCCGTGCTCTTTATCCTGCTTGATCAATCCATCCTTGATCCTCGATTTTCATTACCCCAGGTTCCGATCAACCTCTCATCGTCTCTATCGGCGTTGGAAGTCAGGGCGTCGTTGTTTTGGCTGGCTGATGATTCTAGTCTGTTTTCAGAAGATTTTCTTTTTTTCTCTTCTCTTCCTGATACTGATCTTGCTGCGTGATCTGTCGCTTCTTGTCACCAAATATCCCTCCTACTTCGACTACATGCTTTGACCCTCTTCATGACGCTTTATTATGATTTTCGCAAGACACATGGAACTAGAGCAGTACAGACGACAGATACAATTAAGCAAATGACATGAGCTGGGTGAATTCCTTTGCGCTGCGTTACTCTACTTAGCCTCCGCGTTTACGGATTGGCTTGGTCGGCTTGTACGTGGGCGTCGATTTTTCCAGTGCCTAAGTTGTGTGCCGTAGGTTTGGGAGCTACTAGAAAGCGAAGAGCAAATGAAATAGGGTCGTTAACTTCATTCAACTGTGTCATGTGATCAAGGCCGCTCTATGTACTCCCAGTCTCGTGCAGGACCGCTGGATTGGCGACCGCCCCCTCAGCCACACTGTCAGAGGTGCGTTCCCTGATCGCTATAATTCGTCCTTCGTCTCTTCCTTGATGATCTCCTCTGCAGATGCCTGACCGTCAGCCTTGCGTCCGTACCAACCGCCGAGATTCTCGCCCGCGCCGGCCTTGACGATGCTGGTGATAATTTCAAAGGCGACCTGCGCCGCTGCCAGAGCGGTGGTCTCGCCCTTGTTATCGTAGCTGGGGGAGACCTCGACGATATCCGCGCCGACAATGTTCAGCTTCTCAATGCCGCGCAGAATGCGAATGAACTCGCGGGTGGTCCAGCCGCCCGGCTCCGGGGTGCCTGTTCCCGGCGCGGTGGAGGGGTCCAGCACATCGATGTCAACGGACAAGTAAACGGGCTGTTCCGGGTCGAGGCCAATGCGTTCGATGATCTTGTCTACGATGCCCATGGGGCCCAGCTCGTCGATATCATCGGCGTGGATGCGCATGAACCCTTGCTCGGGAGTATTGGGGGCGGTGTAGTCGCTGTCGTCGACGCCCGTGAGCCGGGTGCGCAACCCGGCGTGGGCGGAAGTCGAGTTGCAAATCAGGCCCTCGCGGCTCGCCTTGTGGAAAAAGCTGCCGTGGTTGAAGTGCGACTGTTCCGATGTCCAGTAGGCCGAGTACCGGATCGGGTTCCAGGTGTCAAGGTGCGCGTCGAAGTGCAGCACCGTGATGGGCTTCTGGTAGATCTGGTACAGGGCGCGCAGGGCCGGCAGTGCAATGCTGTGGTCGCCGCCCAGCGTCACCAGCTTCGCCTTGCCGGCGGAGATGCCCTTGGCGCCGTACTTGGAGTCCGCGGGCGTCACGGCCGGCCGGGACCCCAGTTCCAGGAAGGCTTCGTACATCTGGCGCTCGGCCAGGCCGTTGTCGAAGGGGGTGACAGGAATGTCGCCGCAGTCCTTGACTGTCGCCCAGGAGCTGTACGGGTTGATGCCTGCGCGCGTGTTGTAGCTGGTGCCGGCCATCTGACGGGCGCTGGCGGCGCGAATCGCACGCGGACCGAAGCGGGCGCCTGCGATGATATTATTAGGATGATCCTGCCGTTCGCATGTGAATGGCTAGCAACATACCAGGTCTGTAGCTGACGGCTGTGTCGAAGGGCGCGCCTATCACGGCGATATCGTAGCGCTCATCGGGCTCGACCAGACACTTGACGGGTTTCAAGTGGGCGAAGCTGGCAATGCCGGAAAATGTAAACTAGATACAATAAGCATCGTATACGCATGTAGGTAACTTTACAAGATCTATCATACCTCCTGGTCCCATTTCTTCAGCAGTTCTTCTCGCAAACTCTCCGGTACAACTTCGGCATCGTCGTGATGGGCGTGAGCCAGGGCCGTTCCCGCCAAAGCCAGGAGGCTGACTAGAGTAGTCTTCATATTGGTATATTAGAGAAGTGCAAATGACTCCTTGATGCAATGACAAGAGAAGAAGAGAGATGCGACAAGAGAAACTTGGCTCTTAATATGTTCTCCAATTCTGCAGCGAACCGGGGCTCTTTCGGCGATTTCATCGAATCACGAAGAATCATAATGCTTCTATCTTTCGAATAATATTATTCAAACTGTCAAATATGATATATCGACCTGGCAACAAATCAGAACCAATCCTTTGGCTCTTGTTCCATCAATCGCAGCCCCGCTGTGCTGTTTGTCGAGAACTGGAATCCATGCCATGGACCAGAGAGAAAAGTGGGCGGCATCTTTTGTGATGGATGTCGTGCAGACTTTCCCTTCTGGTCCGTCCCAGACTTCCAGTGACCACTGCTTAGACGCTGGTCATTATTGGCTGGGTCGGAGATAATTCCAATTTGAACTTCATAGAGGCAGTATCATAGGTTGATAGTCATCTACCTCTTGAACAAGTTCTACAGTCATTTGTTTGTCCCCTTCGGCCGTCAATCAGTATGCCATGCGTCGTGTTGTTGTAACGGGTTTAGGCGCAGTCACGCCTTTGGGTGTGGGTGAGTCGATACCATCTACCCCTTTGATTTCTTTTTCTTTTCCTACATGCAAGTACATCTTCGCGCCTGCACTAGATCATCTTGACAGCGGTGCTGGGTATTATTCCGTGTCGTTGTTCTGATTTCTTTCTCTTCCTCGGCCTCCATCAACTGGGCCGGTTTTCCTTCCCCACTCCTCCGATTGTCCAGAAGGGGAAGGTCTTTACATGCGACCAAAACCGGAACTTTGCGCCGGATGGCTTTGCTAATCATGTCGCTTTGTTTTTGTTTCGATGTATAGGGGTCCGTCGCACCTGGAAACGCCTGCTGGATGGTCATTGCGGCATTGTCAATGTGAAGCACCGCGATGCTCGGTTCGCGGACTTGCCTTGTCAGATTGCCGCTGTGGTACCTGTAGGTCCCCGGCAGGAGGGCGGTTGGACGGCTTCGGAATGGCTAAGCAGAGATGTACGTGATGATTGTTGTCGTCTCTTCCTGACTTTGGGGTATTTGTGCTGAGGGTAATGGACTTGGTTTGGCAGGACGAGCGGAAGATGGCTCGGTTCGCTCAGTATGCCATGGCTGCCTCCGAGGAAGCGCTGGAAGATGCCGGTTGGAAGCCTACGTCGTTTGAGGAGAGGGAAGCTACGGTTCGTGACGGTTGATGCGGTACTTAGTCGAAGCGCTGCGGCTGATGATGCGTCTAGGGTATTTGTCTGGGTTCCGGGATTGGGAATTTTGATGAGATCTATGACACGGTCGTGGCATATGACAAGGGGGTCCGTTCTTCCGCTCATGAATCCGAAGCGTCCTCATTGTTGACAATGTTTCGCGCAGGGGTACAGAAAGGTATCTCCATTGTTTGTCCCAAAGCTCTTGATCAATCTAGGCGCTGGTCATCTCTCTATGAGGTACGGATTTATGGTGAGTGATTACCCTGAATCAATCACTGAACGGGACGCTTATCTGGGAAGGGCCCCAATCATGCGGTAACAACGGCCTGCACGACCGGAGCGCATTCGATTGGTGATGCAGCTCGTTTTATCACGTGTGGTGATGCGGACGTGATGCTCGCTGGCGGTGCGGAGTCATGCATTCATCCATTGGCTATTGGCGGCTTTGCTCGAGCGAGAAGCCTCGCCACCGATTTCAATGATGCCCCGGAAAAGGCATCGAGACCCTTCGATGCAGACCGGAAAGGATTTGTGGTCGGTGAAGGAGCGGCCATGCTAGTACTAGAGGTGGGTGGCCTCTTCGGCGACATTAACTGGTGCTGACTAGAGCCTTTTTTTCCCTGTCCATTAGGAATTGGAGCATGCAAAGGCCAGAGGGGCTCGCATTTACGCAGAGCTGAAAGGCTACGGCTGCTCCGGCGATGCCCACCATATGACAGCGCCTAAGGAGAATGGCGAGGGGGCATGGATGGCGATGAAGAAGGCTTTGAAAAATGCGAATCTCCCGCCGTCTGCTGTCGACTATGTCAATGCACACGCTACGTCAACTGTGGTTGGAGATGCTGCGGAAAACGCAGCAATAAAGTCCCTCCTTCTCGGTCCTGGAGGGAAGCAGAACGCGGCTGAGATCAACGTCAGCAGCACAAAGGGGGCCGTAGGTCATTTACTCGGTGGCGCCGGTGCCCTTGAGTCGTTATTCACTGTTCTTGCTATCAATGAGGTGTGTTCAGGAGCCATAAGTTGTTATGAAGGTGCTTTGCTGATTGTTGATCTTTAGAATGTGATGCCACCGACCATCAACTTGGGCCGTCTTGCAGAAGGATTTGACTGCAACTACGCCCCGAACCAGGCACAAGAGCGTCAGATCACAGTAGCACTGACAAACAGCTTTGGTTTTGGAGGGACGAATAGCAGTCTGTGCTTCTCGAAGCATGGATTATGAGGCACATTCTGTCTCGAGATCAGAAGGCCAGTTACGCCTTTCACGTTCCCATTTTGTATAGTAAAAAGCATATTTACAATATCAAACTATTTGAGAACAACGTAGGCCTTAATAGTTATTGGCGACTATTCTGCATAGATGAGATTTGTATTGTTCCCCTCTGCTTATCATAAACTGATATCCTCACGTGACCGTTCCATGCGGAGACCCCGATTCGAAGTGAACTGATCAATTCCGGAGCCAGACCAGCCAAACCCGCCGCAGCACTTGAACTCATCAACACATTTATCGTCCACCATCTGCTCATCAGACGGTCGGAAATTTCATCACTGGCTTGATCGGGCTGTTCATCGCACTCGAGTTACGGACCAACCTTTCGCACGCGCTCGATCATGGGTACTAACGGGGATTCTGGTCGAGGTACGTGGGCCCCATGTCACGAGATCCTGTCGTTGGGGTGATGCACGCTAATTGGTAGTATTCCTGTGTACAGCGTCGTCGGTCGCTTCGAACTCGGGCAGTTTGGTGGACGCATCGGGGTACAAGTACTCCGAGAAAGATGCGAAACCTACGAAGATCAAATTGAAGAAGGCGGCCAAGTCGGCCAAGGCGAAGAAGGCGGCTGCCGGTAGGTCTTTGCTGGATACGCTAGGATACAGGTCATCGGGGCGAGATGGAAGGGGCTAATGTCATCGCTGGCAATGTAGAAGTACCTGAATCGCCTGGCTCGTCGCCTATACTCCCGGAGATCGATGAAAAGACCATGGCTGCCTTCCCGACGGGCAAGCCCCGTGAGGAAGACAATTTGGAGACGGTGATATGCAAGACGTGCAAGAGGCCGGTCCTCAAGCAGAATGCGGTAGAGCATATCCGCGGCTGTATCCGGGCGAAGCAGGAGAAGGCGCGGCGGAAGAAAGAGGCGCGCGATGCGGCGAACCGGGCCAAAGAGAAGGATAAGGATGGGGATGACGACGCCGCGGGCGGCGACAAGGACGGAGATGATTCAATCAAGGCGCAGAAGGGCGCTAAGAAGAGCGCCGTCAAGGGCATGGCTGAGGACGGGACGAAGAAGGGCAAGAAGCGCAAGACCGAGGGCGATGAGGATAAGGAACCCAAGAAGAAAAAGAAGAAGGAGGAGCCTAAGCCCAAGGCGCCGAAGCCAAAGGGCCCCGTCGATGTTGAGAAGCAGTGTGGTGTCATTCTGCCGAATGGGGCTCAGTGTGCGCGTTCGTTGACGTGCAAGAGTCACTCAATGGGTGCGAAGCGTGCGGTGCCCGGCCGTTCGTTGCCCTATGACATGCTGCTCCAGGCATATCAGAAGAAAAATCAGGCCCGTCAGCAGAGTGAGTGTCTTCGTTTATTGTCGTTCTTCACTTTCACTGTGATTACGGAGGGCTGACTGTTATCTCTTCTATCGTGCAGAGGCAGCCATTGATGCAAATGCTCCGCTTCAAGATGATTTGGACAACAACGGTCCCGTCGACTCTGATGAGGAGAAAGACGCCGTCATGGCGGCGATTCTTCGCTCGCGCCCACAACCCCTGGTCACTCATCCATTGATCTCGACCAAGAAGAAATACAAGTACGTGCGAATCAAGGAGATGCTTTCTCATGCCTTGGGCGGAGCTCGTGGCGGCGGGCTCTTCTCGACCGGCGACGCCACTCCAACCAACGATGGGAATCCGTTTCAGCCGATGGACGATCTTCCCCTAGCATCCCCTGTCTCCGTGACGGGGTCGGATAACGCACCAGATACAGCGAAGAAGACCCCTGCGCCAGCTCCAAAGAAGCTACCGGTGGCGGCCTCTTCGTAATTTTGTGTTTCTGTGCTTCGTCCCAACAGGTTTGGGCGATGACCGTCTTCTTAATATCTCTTTCTTGTCATGCGGTTGGCGAGTGTGATGGCGTTTAATGGATGTTCATGGATGAGGTTATTCCGGTCTGGAGCTGTTCGGTTATGATGAAAATGATACCCCTGAGTCTATTGTAGACGGCATATGGAGTCTTCTTGTCTCAAGTTGAGTTGTAACGACAATCGATTCTGTTCTCTTCTTCCCTTGATAGAAACATCCAAAGGCCATATTACCTAGTTACACACGCAATGTTGAGAGCAAAATCAAAGTCTGCAGGTTACCTATTTGATGCTATATGAGGCTATCTGATCCTAATATAAAAGGTGCTCTGTTGGGTAGAAACTATTCAAATCAACTCATTTATACTTCAGTTGAGTTCTGCCTCAGGCCGCCACTGGTACCTCCGCAAGGCCGCCGGAATCAAAGAATGAACTTCATTCTGCCATGGATGCGCCTCACTGTCAATCTGGATGAAATGACCGCAATCTGATTCAACTTCCCATACTCAACTGCAGCTCTACGATTAAGGACTGCGCACACCTTTCACTTTATGCGCCTCCGGGCGAGAGCTCACCTGTCGCTCCAGCTACACTCCCCTTCAGCTCATCCCTCCCTCCACGCGCTGTCAAAGCCACCGTCACCCATCCGTCGAAAATGGGCAACCCGTCCGTTCCCGATCTCGATGCTG